GTGTGAGGAGCCCTCCCCCTGAGGAGGAACTGCAGAGACAACATGTGATGAACTGACTGCAACCCCCACCCCCTGTCCCCCCGAGCTGCTCCGGGGGGGGGGGGAGAGGAATTAGACGGGAAGAAGGGTGGGGAGAAGGTGTTTTAAGATTTAGTTCTTACTTATTATCCTACTCTGATTTGACTGGTAATAAATTAATTTTTTTTTCCTCCAATTTGACTCTGTTTTGCCCACGATGGTAATTGGTGAGTGATCTCCTTGTCCTTACCTTGACCCATGAGCCTTTCATTATATTTTCTCTCCCCTGTCCAGCTGAGGAGGGGAGTGATAGAGCGGCTTTGGTGGGCACCTGACGTCCAGCCAGCATCAACCCACCACACCCCCTTTCTAGCCATCCAGTTGTCAGGGAATGAAGGGGGAAGGCACTGGCTGCCCTCAGGGCTGCGCCCCTCCAGACACCCCTCTCTCTGCTCCCACCCGAATGCCGGGTGTCTTGGCACAGCCCGCCGGGTGTGATGGCTCCTTCCATGCTCCAGGACCCCACAGCCTGCCCACACCCCTTCAGGCTCAGGGTACAGGGGAGAGAGGGGTGCCAGGTGGACACAGAGAGACAGAATGGGGGAGGGGGAAGAGCCCTGCCAAGCGATGCATTGGAAGGCAGCCCCGGTGACCCAAGGGGAGTCATTCGTGAGAGGAATGACTTTGGTGCTGGCCAGGCTGCGTGCTGGTCACGGTTCATTTGCTGTGGGAAGTGAGGAGTGATTCATTTGGCAAGCTTCTACGCTGCGACTGCATGAGGTTCATACGCCCCTGCAAAATGGCAGAGGGCACCATGCAGCCTTGATCTGCAAATCTATATGCCACCCACTTGTCATCATTAAAGTTCACTGGACGTGCTAGGTAAAGGCTATGGTGTTTAGCCCAGACTAATGTGCTCTCTGGCTTTTTGTTCAGCTGGATATGAAAAAAGCCTGTTCGCTTCATACCCTAAATTCTTGCATAGTTTTGCATGGCAACATCATTTATCCTGACTGCCCCATTTTCCACCTCCAGCCAACCTAATGATGGTACATTTAAATGCTAGATGAAACGACTGCTGGCTCCCCAGCACCAAGAGCCTTTAGGATGGGAGATGCTACGAGGCTACAACATAGTATTTCACATTACGGGAGCTGAAAGTTGCCCATCAGTTTTGCATCTCTGGCCTCAGCTCTAACTCCCCACTTGTCAGTCCTGAGAAAGAGTCGGTGGGCTCAGGAATCTGCTGCAAGGCCAACATTCAGCACCAAACTCCAGTTTGCTTGCAGCTGAAGCCGGGCAGACAGCAGCTCGTGTGCCGACTGCAGGCAGGGCAGCAGAGGCTGTGTTTGCTGGTGGTGAAAACACCAATAAATGCAGGTTGGAAGGAGAGGCCAAGTGCGCAGAGCTGATCCAGGTTACCCATGTTTGACAACCACATATTGGGATGAGAAAGTGTCTTCTCAAAACCCTTTTAACACATTCACCTTTGAGAGCTTTCAGCAAAAAGACAAGGCAGGAATGTTAAAGGGTCAAACTCCGGGTGTTTGCTTGTTCTTTCCTCAGGCAAACCTTCATTGATTGACTGTGGGAAGGGTGAGAGCTGAGCACAACTGACGGAGGAGTCCCACTGCTAACAGTGAAGCACTCAGCCTCCCGGCAGAGACTAATGTCAATAGACAAAGCTCTTCCAAATACGCCCCGCTCTCTGCCTGCTGCGCACTGCCAAAAATGACAGTCTGAGGGGCTGCTGGTTCCCTATGACTTTTAGAGCCAGCACCTTCCTCAGGCAGCAGGACTAGCAGTCACACGGCTGGATTTCGACGGGGTGAAAGAACAGGCATGGTGGCTGAGAGCAGGCTGGGGGCTCGGCAGTCAATGCGAACATCAGCTGCGGGGAGCCTCTCCATGATGCAGGATCCTCTGGAAGTGAGGGATACGACCAGGGTCTCACTGTGGGTTGAGCTTTCACGCACAAATGTTGGTGAGACCCAGACAGTGCTCTAGTCGGTATATACAGACTTGGATAGGCAAAGGCATTTGCAAGGGCAGCTACAAGATGAGGATGTGCAGCCAGTGACCATTGCTAGAGGGTCTCCTGGACTTCACTGGGTGCACCAGAACAATTTTTTGAGCAGAGCTCTACTTTTAAGGAGAACAAGACAGGCCCACCCACACTGGCCAGCCTGCAAGCTGTAAGTGCCTAAGCAAGGCACTGATTCAGCCAGACTACTCACATGAGCAAAGATTACTCATGTACAGGCTGCAGGACCAATACTCTGGGGCCCTTGTGACTCCTTGTCAACTCAGGAGTCTTGTCACTGCAATGACCACTACTCCATTCTCTGACACCATTACACAACCCAGAAGTCAGGGGAATCTCTGAGCTGTCATTGCACAGGTTGGGGACAAGCTTTGCAAGGACATTCAGTCTTACCAAGGTTTCTTTTTTTGCTCTTAGCAAAGATCGGAGAGCACACCACTCCTGCTGCTGTCCCCATAGGAGGAAGGGCTCAGAGAGCTAACGCCAGGATCAGGCGATTGCACAGGAGACCAAAAACCAATGTTCAGTAATTCCCCCTCCACAACTCTGCCAATCACACACCATTTCTTGACAGTCCTGAGCCAGCCAGCTGTGCCTACACGCTTGCACACACACACAGTCACTGTCATAAGCCACACTTCTGTAGTCACTAACTCACCATGCCCAAGCACACCTGTGGTCAGGTACCTTTCCTGGATTACATCCCTCCCTTCTCCCACACAGCCAGCAAGAGAACCGGTTCTTCAAGTACTGACACACAAACTCACCCACACTCTGCCCCCTGCTTCCCTTCCCATGAAAATGGACTCACTACAAGGTGGGGTCTTGCACCCATGCAAGAAACCTGCATGCAAACTGGAAGAGCACATGCTCTTCTTGTGGCTTGCTCTCAGGCACAGCCTGGTACCTGAGTAATGACCCTCGGCTTAGCAAGCTTGCTGGCAGTAGAGGGACGTTCCCATTCTGTCCTCCATGTCCCCTTTCACCACGACAGTTTATGAGAAAGCTGAAATGATCTGAGCAGTCACCTCCATCCACCCTTCCTGGCTACAGGAATCCTCACAAGCAGCAGGGACATCTCCCAGGATCCCAAATACGTCTCACATAAAGGAGGCCTCGGGGTGAGACTTCCTGGTAGCCATCCCATAGCTGCAGAGTCAGAGCCATCAGACCTGTCATTTGCACCACCGAGCAAGTGGCAGGTTTTCGTCTGAGGCAGGAGAAGTGAAACATCACAGGCAGCGATGAAGTGAAATGCTCAGTGCGTGGCATGGGGATGGTGACATCTCACAGATGTGCTGCAGCATGATCCCACAGGCAGGGAGGAGGCAGGCTCAGCATGGATCTGGGTGGCAAAGAGTGGTGCGTCCTCCCAGCAGAATGACACTCGTTCCTCCATCCCATCCCAACACACATCTGACTCAGCACCAGAGGACCCAGACGTGGAACAAACCTCTTGGGAAGAGGAAAGACCAAGAGGCCATTTCATTTGGCTTGCAAGGAGTTAACAGCGCTGCCTGGCATCACTCAACTCAGTGGAGAAATGGAAATAGGACTGAGGTTAGAGGCCCAAACATCACTCTGAATGCACAGCCAGACATCCCTCCCATCAAGGTCTTTGATATAACACATTTATTTTGCTGTGTGGCAGTACTGTACAGTACACATACATTACCAGAGCCCTGAGTTGCCATTCCTCCTGCCTTCCCTGAATTTTGGAAAAGAGGCAGGACCACTGTCCCCTTCCCCCATTTCACCTGCAAAGAAACAGGCCAGGAAAAGTCCAAAACACAGAGGCACTTGCTGACACGACTAGAGACGAACCTCAAAAAGCCGGACTCCCAGTCCACCACTCTCACCATTAGGGTCTCCTTTTTCTGGTGCTGGAAGAAGAAGCCCTAGTGCCAGCTCTCCACAAGGTCTCACTCCTCTGAGAAACTCTCTGCACATCTGAACAGAAATCAGACTAAGGAGACTGCAAAAACTAATATAAACCCTATTGGATTTTAAAGGGACTTACCACCTCTCTCTGAGGGTCTGAGAAATGTTTTTGGGCATACTAGGCAGAGTTGGGAGTCTCTTAAATTCTGTAAGATTGTTTAAGAAAGAGCCAAGGAGAGGCTTTTGCTTCCAGTGCAATCCCACTGGAATCTGAGTGGAATTTCCCCTGCTCAGATGGGGAAAGAAAGTACCCTGCCTTTACTGACACACGGTATCCCGCACCTCCTTTTCCTAAACCATGAAACAGCAGAGCTCCGGTACCGACTCCACCTCTCAGCGCCACAGAGTAAGCTAATGCTGTAACAGGCAAGGACAGTGCAGCATGTAAGACCCCAAAATAGCCCACAGAATAGACAGAAACAGTCAGAAAGGCAAATGTGCCGTGGAGAGCAGAAGGGAGGGAGGGAGCATCCGGGCCTCTCCCGCCAGTTCATGTCAGTACGTGGAATGCTGCATCCGGCTCAGGAGAGCAATGACCCAGTTCCCCAGCTGGGACCCCTTCAGCCACAGGAAGAGTTCATACAAGTTGATCTGCCACAGGCTCAGGGCTTCTGTGAGTGAGATCTGGGCTCTCCTATAAAGCGAGTGACTCCTGCTCCTCTGGTACCTAGAATGAGAGAAACAGCTGCATTAGATCCAGCAGGATGCAGCCCGGCAGGAAGGAGGCCTGTCCTACATCTTCAGTACAACTGACCCTCCCCAAGGAAGGGGAACGTCCCACCTCTGGAGAATCACCATCAGTGGGGACCCCTGGGAGTAGGGATTTTCTCCAAGTAATGTTCCTGAGGAGCTGGGTACTGCCTTCCTAGCATGAATCTGGCAGAAGAGACAGCCTGCTCCCTTGTGAGCCCGGTTCTCCCCGCACTGCGCGTAGTGACCCTGGGCCATGGCATCCTCTCCTTCTATGTACAGCTTCACTTCAGCTAACAGGGACAGGTGCACACCCTTATAGCCCTTCCTGGTAGCACACTCGTAAGAGTCCAGCAATCCTGACACACTGATTCCAGGAAAAGTAATTCTCCACCTTTCTTTAGAAGCAGAGGTTAACTGGGCTTTGTAGGTCCTTCATCAGCCAGAGAAATAACTGTTATTCCTTTTGCAAGGAGGAGGAATCTGAGGCAGAAGTGCATTGACTCATGGCGACAGACCTGTCGTCTGGAGAGGCTGATGGGCGTGAGAGCAGCACAGAGGCTGAGACATGTAACTGAGCAGGGGCAGGACCACAGCAGATGTGCTAATGAGGGGGAGAGGTCCACAGCTAAGAGTAAGAAGTCAAGAGGTCAAGTAAGGCCTTGTCAGGGCCCTGAGTGGGGGGCTTTAATAAGCCTGAATGGCCCTGACTAGCCTGGGACCTCCCCCAACCCTCTGCTCATAGGCCCAGGAGCTCCAGTTAATCTCAGGCCTGCACCTTCAGTCCCTGCCTGAACTACACTGGAGGAGTAATGGTGCCCAGCTCATTCTCTGCTGTGAAGCCCCTTGACCTGGACTTCAACTCACATACTGATCTCTTGGCTTGACCTCAGCCCTGTCTTGTCACCATGGACCGGCCTGACAACCACTGGACCTGATCTACAGATTAAGTTTCTGGTTTGACCTTGGACCTGCCCTGTCACCATGATGTTCCATTATGATAAGGACTTTTGATTGGACCTGACCACCATCTCAGGTCTGCTCCGCTCACCTTGCTCAGCTACTGTGAGACTGGGCCCTGGCTGACCTGCTGGCTCTGGGATCCCCCCCAGCTCCTGGCCCCCAGGGACAGCCAGCCCCTGACGCTCCATGTCTGGCCTCTGGTGCCTGGAGAAGAGACTCACGTGGAAACAGCTCTGATACAGCAGCGAGACATGTTGAGGAAGGAGCTGGCACTGGCCCGTGTGTGCAGGGCTGACTCAATCCCCCTTAACAAGTCATTGGTCTTCAGCAGCAGCAGCATCTGGCGGGGGACGTTGTTGAGGAGCTGGGTGATCTGGGGTAGGTAAGCAGCAGCGTTGGACCGGATCTCCACATCCTGCGGCCAGCCAGGTCATGTCAGAGAGAAAGGAGAGAGAAGCTGAGAGTGCATGGGAAACCCAGGTCCAGATGCAGCTGAGATTTGGCAGGAGGAGACAGTGTTTTTCCAGACCACGACTGTTAGGCCAGAAGCTAAAGAGTTCTTTGTCCTGCTTTCCTGCAGACACCTGGCTGCCCCAAGCACTCACAGAACAGTCACAGATCACTCTTGCCATATTCCAACTGCCCCTCAGTGAGGTAAGGCCCTGTCCCCTTACTGGCAGGATTAATAGCCTCTCAGGAGAACAGGGCACTCGCTGCTATCTCAGTTCTTGGCCCCAGGCAGCCTGCAGCAACCATGTCTCATTACTGCCCTTGCAGCCTTCTGACTGAGTCTCACCTCACCAGCCCCAAAGCTGGCAGAGCTGCAGGTAGCACAGGACTGCTCTGGAAGGTGGAGGCATGCTGCAAGGACAACCAGGCTGCTCCTTGTCTTGCTGTGCCATGCAACTGATGGCTTTATGCTATACTGATGAAGCTGTTTCCAAGGCCTAGTTTAGTCCTCTGTCCTCAACACAACTCAGCAGAGGTGAGAAAGCATTATGCAGTTAAGCGTCATGCTAACCCAAAAGATCAAACACTGTCATCTGTCAGACTAAGGGTCTATCTAGACCCATATCCTGTCTGGCAGCAGCCAGTAGCAGATGCTTAAGGAAAGACTGTAAGACCAAGGCAGACATAGACTGATCCTTCACTTTCCTTGATTCCCCAGCTTCCAACAAATACACCGCCCATGGTAAGATCCCAGTGATAACTGATGGGCTACAGCCTGAGCCACTTAAGATGGGCTCCCCTCCAAACATGAGCCACCATAGCATGCAAGACAGCCAGCCCCCACTCTTCTGCCTCTTTTTAGATCTGAGAGTTCCCTCACCATCCCAGTAAATGTAGGACAGTGTGGTGTGGAGCTGATCCTATACGCATAACTGTGTCCCTACCTCTTGCTACATGGCCATGACATGAATCAGCAAATCCAAGCAGAAGTCCCTGGAACATCTGGAATCTCCAGAATCCAGCAGGACACATGCAGAGGGCAGTAAATGACTTCTTACAGGAGGGAGGCTCCTTTGTGGGAAAGGGAAAGGACAGCTCTAAAACCTTCTCTCCTCTGGAATGAGGGACTGACAGCCCATATTTCACAATATGGGATCTCACACTCACTCTTTATGAACTTCAGACTGCACAAATCGAGTGTGCAGGTCATGATGGTCAGAGATGTATACAGCTTACACACCACCATGGTTGCTTTGCTGCTGACAAATAAATCTGTGTCCTCCTGTCTCCATCACCGACCAAATACACAAAGCTTCAGTAAGAAGATGCTTAGCTCTCCTAAATGTTAAATGTTTTGTTCCATTATTTGTTGGCAAAAAATTCCCCCGATTATCTCTTCTTCCTTATCCTAGCCAGCATCACTGCAGAGCCTACTTTATTTTCTACACATAGGTTTTCTTTTCTATTTCTTTTCTTTTTATTTTTAGCTCCAGCTGCTTGTCCACATCACAAAACAACCACATGATCTGTCATCAGAACTGTCATTTTCTGTCAAGGGCGAAGCCTCTGTGCAGAGGAAGAAATGAGCTATGCCACAGGACCTGAGAAAAGCCCCTTGGCTGAAATCACTGAGGCTGCTGCAGGATGCAGCAAAACACAGTCATAAAACCACATGAGATAAGGCTAGCAGCCACCCTGAGTGGTCAGCTGCCTGGCCTTGGCTTAAGGCAGGAACAACTACACCTACGGCAATCCTCACACATTTGCCTAGCCTGCTCCTAAAACTCTCCAGTGATGTGATTCATAGCCTCCCCAGACCATCCGCACCAGCGTTTCACTGGCCTTGCCATTAGATCCGGCTTTTCTCCTGTTTAACCCCAATCTCCTTAGCTGAATTTAAACCCATTACTTCTTGTCCTGTTTGCAGCAGTCTTTAACAGGTTTGAAAATCACTACTACAACTCTTTCAACCCGTGCTTTTCTAGACTTTTTCTGCCCTAACTTGCTCAGACTTACCTCATGGGTTGCATCTGCTTGACCACTAGTCCTTGTAGCTTCCTACTGGACTCGCCCCAGTTTCATCAAACCTTTCTTGAGATGCAGTGCCCCAGACTGGACAGAGCACTACAGGTAAGATTTTGTTTCAGGAGGATTGCTTCCTTGTCTCACAGGCTACTCTGATGTCGATACATCCTCAAGCACACTCTCTGGAGCTCTGTGCTGATGGTACCTGCCTACACAGCGCTTGGCTCTTGTTGCTGAAACAATCTTTCAAATTCACCTCTAAACTACGGGCAAGCAGCAGCTCACTTCCTAATGCCACAGCAAATCTGCTCAGCTCCCCATTATCTGCTGCAGGATTATCCAGTTTCAGCATTGCGTCATGTAGGCAAAGACAACAGAGCTGGCTCCATACACGCAATTCAACTCAATGACAAAGTTCATTAGCCCATACAAGGCACCATGCAGCTGCAGTTACACCTCTCGCATAATGTTCACAAGCCAGTTTAGGATAAACATTGTTTATTAGCTGAGATTCAACACTGGCCTTGCAGTATTGGAGCCAGGTCTGTGTCGATTCACTTTGGTGCCTCTGAATTTTTTTCTGGAGCTACCTGCTCCAGAACTCACCAGATCAAGCACTGATCTGCTAGACAGTCACTATATTATTTCTGATATGCAGAAAATTAACTCAGGTAGGAAGCAATCAAATTACTAGGCAGGGGGGGTCCATTACCCAAGGTATCTGACCTACTCATTGCTATGGATAATGGCAAGCCAGTGCAGCAAGTTCTGCCACATCCATCAAAGTGAAACGCCAACCCGAAGGAATTTCCAGAAGATAATTTCACAGGGCAATATTATAACGCTACTTAAATGAATTTCATCCTCTCTACCACAAATGCGTGCAGATAAAAACAAACCATAGGATACAACATGTTTCTACCTACAGACACTAGTCTGTTGGATGAAATCACATCACTATATGCTCATCTCTAAAAACCGCACAGTTGGCAGGGGCTGCTACTATTCCTAAAGTGGTGTGTGCGTGTCAGGAGTGTGAGAAGGCGTGAGAAGGATCCCAGCATGTGTGGATAGGAAAGGGTGGAGAATGTAAGTGGCAATTTCCTAGATTTGTAGTGATTGAGTTGACAGGATCTGCAGCTAAGCAACCTTGACTCCAAGTTAATAGGGTTTCTGATTGGGAGGCAATTTCCAAGGGTTTTTAGGAGTTTGTATCAGTGCTGATAGTCATTTACATGAATAGTGATAATGCATTATCCTTCTCATGTCTTCCCACTAAGCCTTTATGTCTCCTCTACCTCAACCTATCCTCCTTGATGGTTCCCTGCACAGCTGCATTCAACACTTTTTTAAGAAAAGGCTGATCTACAAATGTTTCCCCTGCCAGAACTGGTGAACACTTAGCCATTAAAATATTACACAAAATTTAAGCAGCCCTTGACAAGTGAAACTGGGAAATTAAGTTCAGCCACCATGAAACACATTGCAGAAGGAGTCCTGGCTTTTTCTAGCTCAGCTATCAATGCTGAATTTGCTACAGAGCTGCCAGGGGTTGCCCAGTATCGCTGCAATATCAGTGGTGCAAGTGGTTACAACAAAGAAAGGTACCCGAGGAGAAGGAAGGGCACACGATAGGGAAGAACACATAGGACCTACCTCGCTGGCTGAGACTGGTGACCGGTCAATGCCCCTGTTGACAGACTCCCAGGACCTGGCAGTCAGCATGCAGGCAAAGAGAGGGTACAAATCCCCTGCCCCGAGCCGCCGGCTGTACTTCTGCACTCTCTTCATATCAGCCTTGATGAGGGCCTGCCAAAGGCGGCAGTAGTCCATGCGGAATGACTCGTTCAGCACCTGGGGAGGGAGACATGGCCCCCAGAAGTCCACAGAGGACAGGGAACTGGGGGGGAAAGACTTGTGCCCCCTAGTGTGCCCTATCCCCCATTTCAGAGCCAGGAAATATCCTTGGAGGGCTATGGGAGTAATAGGAAAAATGTATTCATATGGGCTTAGGGGGGCAAGGCTGCAGCTGGGTGTGCTCTTTCAGCCTGATGCCCACAGGCAGCCTCACAAGGCCCTGGAAGCCCCCCATAGCTACGTACCTGGTAGAGCCCATGGTCCAGGAGGATAATGTGGGCCTTGCCAGAGGCTGGGCATTTCTTCACTAGCACATTGCCTGGGTGCGGGTCACAGTGCACAAAGCCATTCACAAAGATCATTTCACTGTAGAGCTTCCCCAGGTTGCGAGAGATCTGTAAGGAGGCAGGAGATGGTCATACACTGCCACCCACAGCAGGGTGCCTGCCAGGGAGGGTAGGCAGTCCCCACATGCCAACACTGTGGGGAGTGAGGGTCTGGTACATGCCAATGAACCCATGCAGAGCTCTTGCAGCTCCTCACACTGACAAATGCACAGGGTGGCTGCTGGCATCTACCGCGGGGTGACCCAGGGCATTCAGGGAAGGATCCATGCAGGGGGCACCATGAAGGTGTTTGTGGGGCCAGGGGTTATTTAAGGACACTTGCCTGGCATAAAAAAGAGAAAATACCTGTGGGTTGGAATGGGGTTTCTGGTAATGAGGAGAAAAGTGAGATAGCAGATAGGGGCAGACAGACATTCACAGGGAAGGCATGGAAAGAGCTGCTCGGGTGGGTGAGAAACGGCTTGGAGGAAGACTCAGGTGTTTCCATCCACGGATGGCAGCAGGACCCAGCGGAGAAGGGGTGGGAGGAGACTCAGCCTGTCCATTTGCCTACCAGAATAAACATGGGTTCTCTCTCCCCTCCCTCCATCACACTGTCCCCCACTTTCCGCCCTCCTTTCCTCAGACCCATGCTAATCTGATTTGCGATGTCTGTGAAGATGAAGCAGCACAGAAAGGCTGTCACTGATGTGTCCCTCCATGCTGCTGCTCCGTATCACCAAGAGATGTTATTAAAGTTAAAAACCTGTCTAGGACCAAGCAAACATCCCAAGGGCCCAGGATCAATCCCTCGCCATGCACTAACACAGCAGTCTCGCCCTGACATCCCACTGCCAGCACTCCCTGCCATCAGAGAGCTGCACGGTGCTCCACAGCAGAGTGCTGAACAAGCAATTAAAAGTCAATCGTTACAAGTGATTCCAAGCATGTCCCCAGACACACAGTGTAAGCACCAAACAGGCTGCTGTCCCCAGAAGCAGAGGTGGTAGAAGAGGTAATGGGGATACTAACGACAGCTCGTCCTGCAGAATACAGCCAGGGAAGGACTTGCTTTACCCACCTCTGAAATGCAGCCACCTCTGAGAAGAGCATTCATTATGAATAGTGCCCAAGTAACTACAAATGAGTAGTTACTTGGGAACCCTTCCTGCAGCACACCGACAGGGACAGCTGTAGGACCAGGCGGGACAACCCTCCATCCCTCAAGTGGGACCTCGAGCCACTGCTGAATCATGGAGAATGCTGCCCTCATGCCGAATCACCCACACAGGTGGCATAGCACAGCCCTGCAGTCTTCTGTAGTGCAGCTTCCCTAATGCCACACAGGTGTTATTGTAAGTACTGACTGAGGGGAATAATGTTTCCCTTCTGAATCACCAGCAGAGATCACTGGAGCAATGAACTGACCTTTATAGGTCTCATAGATCAACAAGCTCTAGAATTGGATAGGACCAAAGTACCAAGTGCTGTGACCTCCTGAAAGAGCTGAGTAGCACTTGCTGACAGTCCAAGGACATGCCAGATAGTCTGTTTTAAGCCAGTCACTCCTCCACACAGCCTCCCAGGGACCTGCACACAAGGAAGAATGGACTTGGACATCATGACTGATCATAGCATCAACCATGACACCTGTGCACACACAACCGCATTTTGCCCTCTCTGCCTCAGCTGTTTGCCCTCCAGGGACCACAAAGAGCACAGAATTACTGAAGATGAGGACTTGGGGCCAACCTGGGGCACAACACAATGCCTCACACCCGTTAAACACAAGTCCAGACAGGGGATAGTAGTTCTGCAAACCTGTTGGTTGGTCACAGCTAAAGCCTGGAAAGCTATTAATTTGGGGCACTGGAATATGGGCTGCTTCAAATACAGCAGATTCTCCTTCCATGCTGCGGTAATGGCATAGGTTGGGAAAGTCAAGCAGTGGAACAAGTTGCCCAGAGAGGTTGTGCAATCTCCATCCTTGAAGGTTTTAAAGACCTGACTGGAGAACACCCTGAGTAAGCTGGTCCAACCTCACAGCTGACCCTGCCTTAGCAGGAGGTTTGATAGGAGACCTCCTGAGGTCCCTTCCAATCTCAAATATCCTAAGATCCAAAAAAACACCTCTCATCAAGTTATCCACACCACCCTCATAACAGCATCTTATGGTATGGTTGTAGGCTCCAGGTGCAGGGAAGGTCTCCCCTCCTGAGTCACCGTCAGCAGACAGGTTACTAAACAGATCTGTGGTCATTGCCTTTTTGCAGCCCGCGATGCAACACAAAAGAAGCTCGGGATTCATCTTCCCATCTTACCATGAAAACAGAGGGGTCACAGCCCTGTTCAGACCCATAGGCTGGGTCGTGGGTACAAGACAAACTTCACTGCAAGATCCCCATCCTCTCTCCCTTCCCTGCTGTACCTATATTTACCTCTTCCCCAGCATGCAACCTTGAGTATCTGCAGTAGTTAATTGATTGAAACTAGACTTTATGGCTTCTTTAAGAAAGAGGAACGCATTCTGTATAATTTAGTTAGCACACAGAAGATATGTTACAGGGGTTTATGATATAAACATATAAACAGTCTTTAATTTTGGGAAAAAAAATTACACAGTGTAAGAGATGAAGCTGTGCTGCACACCAAAGTACTTTCACATATTTTTGTCTGTTGACATACCACTAAAATAGGATAAAAATTAAATTAAGATACAAAGCACCAATACTGTCGAATTCTAAACAAAAAAGGAAGGTTATATTTCTAGGGCTTAGAGTGTAATATGTGAATAGTGACCTATCACTATAATTCAGACAAAAGGAGTTCATATTTCTGGAGAAAAAGTTTAGGAAAAAAACATGAAACCTTTATATACATTAATTCTCCAGTACTGTGCCCCATCACTATGGGCCTTTATTCCACCCTTATTGAGAAGGCCACTGGATAAATAACATATACAGAATTCACTTTGGAAGAACGCAGTTAGGTAAAATGAGAAAACAAATGTGTGAAAACCTCTACTCAGGAGAAGGGAGGAATTCAGCCTGCATTTAGGCTGCGTAAGACCTTGGGGTGAAGGTGCATCACAAATTAGACAAAAGGTTGCAGTGATTTACAGAAGCAAAGACCAAAGTAAACACATAGGCATTTTGTTATGACACGGAGAGGTTGTCATTCCTTGCCCTGTTTATCATCCAACACAATGAGGTCCTTATCATTACCAGGGTCCCCCAGCATTGTTCTGCTGCACATCATAAAAAAATAATAATCACCCCTGAAATCCTGCATTCACTTCCAGACACCTCATTAACAGAGAGATGCAGACTACACAGAGTGAGTTCGGAGAAAGCAAATAAATGAGTAGGATGCAGGAAGAATTTACTTGGGAAGAAGATTAAAAGAGCTGAAGATTCCGAAGTTGGTTAAGGAATGGCTGAGGAGGGGCCATCTACCAATGTTAGAAGGCTTGAATAGTAAGGAAGCAGAATCACTTGTAGCACTGGATGTGCTACAAGAAATACAAGTAGGCAGAAGGGGGTGTAATCAAGGATCGCATAATTTAGGCATAACACATAAGAAAAAAAACTATGCTAGTCAGCAAGCAGAGCTGAGCTTGATATGTCAGGATGACACCAGACTCTGGCTCTGGCCAGAGGCATGTCTTTGCCTATTGCCAGAAGGCGTGTTATTGCCTAAAAGAAGTTCAATTTGTCTGTCTGTGCTGCAGCAGAACATGATGACTACTGTCACCAAGTGAGCCTGTGGCCTCACCAGTCAATGCAAATAGCAACCTGCCATTGCCACATTACGTGACATGACCATGACACTCTGTCAGACAAACCACACATTTTCAGCCCAATGTTTTCATTTTGAAAAAAATGTAGCTGAGGAATAAGCAGATTGCAGATGATGAAATGGAGAGTCAGCAGCCTGGGCAAAAACAATGAAGTGACAGATACACGTAAAACAGCCAGACTTGGAGTCACTCTTCACCAAACTAAGCACACGAAGTTCATTTTATGTACTAAATATGGCAAGGATGCTACATGTCACAAACTATCCTATGTGAGTTACAAGCCAATACAGAAGAAAGTAAGAATGCAGTGCAGACATTAAGGATCATTATTGCACAGTATCACATAGTCTGTCTATAAACTGGTCAAGTTTACTGGAAATAAGTAAGGCAGAAAGCATGACTTCGGAGGCTGTTCCAAAAATTCACTCTTAAGTGAAGTCAGAACCTTTCCCCTAAAGGGATGGTCAGAACCTTTCCCCTAAATCCCAGCCTAATTTTAATGAAGTCCAGTTTAAATAATTTCCTTAGCTAACATAACCCTAGAGTTTAACTAGTTCCTTCCCTCTCCAGTATTTACTACTTCAATGTGTTCACCAGTAAGATAATAATCAGCATAAATACAGCATAAATACTGCCCCATTTCTACAGGATGCTCCTTTATCTGATGTGCCCTAGGAGTCACGCTGCACTGGAAACACACACTTACCCTCAGATTGACTAATATCCCAAAGTTAATTCTAATATGTCACTTTCCTCTGATAAACTCCCAGCATATTCAAGAAACTCTTCTTATTAGATTTCAAGCACATGGCTTTTCACTTGGTATTGCTCATTTTTATCCCTTTCTATCACTTCAGTCCTCAAGGCCACCAAGTGCTATTGCTACTCCGGTCCTCCTCTTCAATGACAGAACTCCCAACTTGGTGTCATCAAGAACCTCCTTCACACAGTTCTGTTTGTGTCGAGGTCATGACTGAATTTATTAAATAAGATCAGTTTGAAGAGCAAACCTCACAAAACTCCACTACGGTAATTTCTCTCCACCATTGCCTCTATCAGTTTCTTACCTACTTTGCAATTTCCCTACTAATCCCCAGCTTTTCTAGTTAACCGACTCATATCCAGTGTACCAAGTATTTTACCAAGTACACGTACTGCATTTCTGTCATCTAATTCAGAGGATCCCAAGCTGTAGTATAGTAGCAGCAGTGATATATTTCTTCTTGTGTTACGCACACAGCTGCAAACTGTTGCTGCCATCAGTTTTGAA